AGATAATTTCGATGCTGGCATTTTGTTTTACAAATACATTGTTCAGTACTCTTAAAAAACAGTTTGAGATAGGAAAGTAATATAATTTTGTGAGGTTTAGCGAAGACGAAATAGAAAAAATGTAGTTCAATGAAATTTAAAAAATGTTTTTGACTATGAAACGATTACGCGTCGCTACGACACTGTCGAGTCGGCGAAGACGAGCGATGGCCGCATGGCGGCAAAACACCGTACACATGTTGCCGACGAATATTTCCTCAACCTGTTCGAATTCAAAACCGTTCCGACACATTTTCTGAATGGCTTCTTTTTAAGAAATGTCTACAGAATTCGATACTGTATAGCAAATTTATGCTAGATGAAGAACTTTCCGCAAAAACGCAAAAGTATTGTGTGGAAGGTACGCACATCGGCTCGTTTTTAATATTTGATGGCCATTTACAACCATTCAAAACCACAAAATTTAATAACTGTATACGCTAATATATTCAGGACACTCTCCTCTATCTTTTAAGACTAAATGGAACTTCTTAGCGTTTTGAGTTTCCACGCAATGCCTCACTTTTGTCCAAAATCGAGTGTTTTTACAAAAATCCATATTTTTCAAAAACTGAGTATGATAGAGCAATTCTGTTTCCGGATTCGTGTTTGGGACGAGAAACTCTACAAGGATCACCCAATGGATATTGCAGTTTTTTCTGAAGGTCAAAATTTGTTGGACAGTGTTATTATAAACATAGAAATCTGCCTGGTTATTTTTCTGTCCAATTAAAATTTTAATTAACTCTATAGATAGTATTGGTTTTATTTTATTACAGATTCGTGAGGATTTGAGTAAAGTTGTCGAAACTGGTATAAAGTGTGTATACACATCCGTCATTATACCAGAAAAAATTAAATACGATGGCCGATCAATTTTATCGATTAAAGGTGTTAGATATAGATTGAGAAATAATTTACATATTATTGGCTGGGGAAAAGAAGCAGTCACAATGAGTTCAGCATTTGAACGAGTTGTTGGCAAACAATTGAAAAAAGGTTGGATGGTGGTTCCTCGGAAATCAATTTTCATGATGTGGAGTTTTCCAGAAGCGTTTCCTCCTTTGGATAGTCGCATTTCTTATGTTGAAGCTGGAACTGATGGTCAACCGGATGAAAAATCCGTAATAACTACCAGAAGAATTATAAACTACTGTAAAAAATTGAAGAAAAGAGATTTATTGATAGTCATGATCTCGCAAGGAATTGATGATCTCCTTTGTTGTCCACGAGAAGAAATTACATTAAGAGATAAACTTAGAGTGTTGACCAGATTACAAGCTGCAGAAGCAACTCCCGAGGAAATGAACATCGTAAGAAATAAACTTTCTGCAATTAGAGGTAAGGAAAACTAATGAAATTCATATAATGTTCACAATACACTTTTACGAATAATTTTCTAATTAATCTTCCATTAACCGCTTTACTACCACGGACGAGATATTTCGCGACAAAATATCGTTCGTACTGTTACATCGCAACGGTAAGATAACGGACGGGGAACGAACTCTCGAGCTTCACTTCGGCCAAGAAATTAACACATTTATTTGTTCGCCAGAAATCATATAACACAAGAAGTCAAAAAACTTCGATAAGAACAGAGCGCGTTCGATGGTTAAGTTAAATGTCAAGAAGGCGTTTTCGTCGTCGTAAGCGGGTCTCTTTATATTCGCGCAATGTCGCGACAGCGTTTTCGTGCTGGGTGTTGGTTATTCCAGGAAAGCAAGCATGTGACATTCCAATAAAAATATTTCAATAAGTATCGTCCGATATTTTAAGAAAGCAAGCATGCCACATTGCAACGAGGTAGTATGCGATATTTCAAGAAAGCAAGCATGCAACATTCCATCGGACTTCCGGTAACATCCTAACAGTACGACACCACAGACGAGATATCCCGCGTGTTTGATTATTAGGATAGGAGTTCTCATTGAAAAAAATATCAATTCACGAAACCTCATAGCGAACAAAAGACATTGTTTTTAGGACAATTTATGTTTATTTTTCTTGTATACGAAATAATTCAAAACATAGGGTAACACATAATGCTACATTACAATTTTTACAATAATAAGTTGTTTCTTTACGTAAATTATTTGTTTTGCACACTTTTGCACACGTTGTTATGCAACGTCTTGTCGGATGACATTTGCTTTTTGTTGAAGGGGCAGTCTCTTATTCAGATTTTGAACATAACGTTACTCTGTCCGTCAGAGTCTTGATACGAGCAAGATCGGGTTCCAGTCCCCTTCGAGCAATAAAACGTCGCGTACGTATTTCGTAAGTGTCAATCAAAATAGTACTGTATACGACTCCTCCGCGCTCTCACCGCGTAAAGTCGAGAAGGGAGGTTCTTGCCGAGTCAAGAATCGACTAACGTTAAACTTTGTAATCATAATAGAATATAGGAATATAGAGTACTACTCGTGTCTATATTCAATCAAACCCATCCTGAGTAGTATAGTAACGTACCAGCTAACGTCACGACAGATATACCTTTACCGCTCGAGGTATATCAACGACTACGACGCGCGAATACCAAACACCACAATATCCGGTGGCACATAGCGTTGACTATACGCTAGTGGTCCATCTCCTTCGGCTACCTTCGTTAACCATACGTTGGCACGTCCGAGCACTCCTGTATTACACCCGACACATCCTCCGGTGTCACGCGTCGTTAACCAATCCCGAATAAACTACCTCCTCCGACTACCTTCGTTAACCATACGTTGGCACGTCCGAGCACTCCTGTCTTACACCCGACACATCCTCCGGTGTCACGCGTCGTTAACCAATCCCGAATAAACCGCCTCCTTCGGCTACCTTCGTTAACCATACGTTGGCACGTCCGAGCCCTCCTGTCTTACACCAAACACCGTCATATCCGGTGGCACACGGTGTAAACTATACGCTAGTGGACCATCTCCTTCGGCTACCTTCGTTAACCATACGTTGGCACGTCCGAGCCCTCCTGTCTTACACCCGACACATCCTCCGGTGTCACGCGTCGTTAACCAATCCCGAATAAACCACCTCCTTCGGCTACCTTCGTTAACCATACGTTGGCACGTCCGAACCCTCCTATCTACACCCACGTCTACCGCGAATCGGGAAACACGCGCCTTTATATCAGGACCAAAAACCCGAACGACGTCGCAAGGCTGGTGATACCGGTCGAGATCCGCGAGCACCTGAAGGCCTGCCGACGACCGTTCGGAACGCGAGCCGTAAATCCCTTAATAAAAAGGTGACAGCGGTGGAACAAGCCGTGCACACACCCTTTTTATAACAAAGGTATCCTTTTGGGAAAACATCGAGATTGGAAACGAAGAGGATGAAAATGATCATTTTTCCCTTTTTTAATACATATTTTGCGTTGGATTACAATATTTTTTTAATAATCCGGATATTATATTCCCCTTTCCTTCACGAAAACTTGTTTTACTTGCATAATGACAATTCCATACAACAAGAGAGGTACATATCGTAATATCGCATCGCGGTATAACTCGTCTGTGACTATCGTAAGACCAATTTTGTGTCGCGAAATATCTCGTCCACAGTTGCGAAGGGGTTAACAATCACTGTGCACAGATGTATGCGGTTAGTAAAAGTGACAGGCCGCTATAACTCATCATCTCGTCTTTAATTCCTTTCTCATACAGAGTGTTCAAGAACAATTGGTATAAAATTTAACGAATGATTCTACAAACCAAAATAAGACGAAAATCAAGAATAAAAAAAATTGAGTTTGTGGCTTCGTTCTTTAGTTATTAACATTTAGAAATATCCATGTGGCCGAACAAACCTTCCTACATGAACGAATATAAAACACGTTAAGACACGGGAAGTACAATGATTCTCAAAATTAACGAGACATGGCCGACTGCTTACCTCGTACAAGTCGTAAAGAACAAGGCAGTGATATTTGGTCCTGTTTTTTTTTTCTCATCCTCGTGTTCTTTACAATTTGTCTTATTCAACATTTGCTCAATTTTTTTTATATTTTGAGACTTATTATCACGTGAATGTCGATCCTCATTAGGATGATATTTAAGATTTTTATTTCCTGTTAGTTGCCCTATGATGCAGGTAAATCCAAAGGATGTTTTCTCTTTAGCATAGTCATAAACTTCCATGCTAGCTGGTTGGAATGTATATCTATTCTTTTCTTGTATCTTTTACTGTACTTTACTATTTCTTCGGACACAGTTGATATTTTTAGGTTTTTTTGGATATCCACATTTTTGAGATACCATGATGCATCTCCCACGCTTCTAAGGATTTTTGCTTGGAGTGCTTCCATCTTTACTATATGGCTTTTTGCTGCCGTACCCCATAATTGTATCTCGTAGGCCCAGAAAGGTTTTATTGTTATTTGGTAAATTTGCAATTTATTTTTTAAACTGAGTTTGGACTTGCAGCTAGTTAGACAACACACATTTTGTGTCTCTGGAGTTTTATATTTTTTATTATTGATTTCATGGTGCTGCCTGCATGTAAGTTTTGAGTCTATTCGTAGTCTTAAATATTTAGCACATTCAGTGTGGAACATTTATGTTGTTTAACGTAATGTGTGTTGTGTTTTTGTAAAGTAAGTGCTATGTAATTGCATTTGTTGGAATTGGTCTTTATTCTTTTATTTGCAAGCCACGTTTCTACATTTGAGATGTAGTTTTGTAACTCTGAATTTGCTATTTGGAAGTCCGTATGTGTAGGGCTAGAACGGCCATTTTGTTACTTGTGGTTGGGATGTCAGTTATATACATATAAGGTGTGAAGGGTTTTTAAGGAAATTGATAGAAGATAGGCGGAAAAGTAAAGGTTAGGACTCGTTAGTAAAGCTTTCTAGGAGGCCCGTGCCTTAGACGCGGGAGGGACTGAAAGGACTCAGGTCAGAAGTAGTATATACAGGGTGTTTCGTAAGGAGTGTAACACCCGGAAATGAGGGGTTGCAGGGGTGACTCTGAACAACTTTTTCCTTTACCAAAATGTTGGTTGAGGCTTCATTTTTGAATTATTAACGAAAAACATTGACCAATCAGAGCGCGCGTAGAGCCCGCGCTCAACCGCGCGCGATCGTGAACAAAAGCACTGGCATAACGTGGGTATCGAGGGAAGCGTGCGGCAAATGTTACATCGTCTTAAATTAAGAATAATCTAGAATTATTCGTTATTCATGAATAACAAATAAACTAATAAGTCATTTAACACGTTAAATGCCGGACAAATTCTACGCAGCTTGTCCACGGTGCCGAAAAGAATTTTTTATTCTAATACAACACATTGCAATATGCATAAATAATATGTCAATAATTAGAAATAAAACTATTTAAACATGCTGTGTGATGTATTGGGTGAAAATTTTACAAATACTACCATTTATTCAAATTAAATGCTGTTACTAATTTTTAGAAATTAATAACTGTTTTCGATACTTTTATTCGTTATCCGAAAGGAATAAAGTGTTTTATTACTTATGAAAAACTTATTACAAATTTTCCGTTTCCACCACTTTCTCTACTTCTATCTTTATCTACCTCTACTCCTGTCTCCCTGTCCTGCCAATATAGAAACCTCAGTTTAGTTTATTTCTGCCAACCGTCGAGACGTACCCGCCGAACCGCTGCCGCAGGGCCAGTTAACGCATAAAACGGTTGTATTTTCCGGGCGAATTGTGCACCTATCATTACACTTATGTATATCTTAATAAATTGAGGTGAAAACAGTGTAACGGCGTTTCCTCACCCCACCTCAGTGTCATAAATTACACTATTATCCATACCGTATTGTAAACGGGAAAGTTTGGCTATTTTGCGATTATGATGTAGCAATGATTTATTTTTTATAATATCGTCGAAAACAGTAAAAGTGGCTATGTAGTGACGTGAGTTCACCGACCCGACTGTAACAACAGCTGTTGAAGGTTGCCTTGAAAGGTCAGGATCGGCACTATGACCCACTTCCGTCGAAGCAGGTTAATTCGTGGACGAATGGGTAAGTTTTTCATAAGCAATAAAACACTTTATTCCTTTCGGATAACGAATAAAAGTATCGAAAACAGTTATTAATGTCTCAAAATTAGTAAGAGCATTTAATTTGAATAAATGGTAGTATTTGTAAAATTTTCACCCAATGCACCACACAGCATATTTAAATAGTTTTATTTCTAACTATTGACATATTATTTATGCATATTGCAATGTGTTGTATTAGAATAAAAAATTCTTTTCAGCATCGTGGACAAGTTACGTAGAATTGGTCCGGCATTCAACGTGTTAAACGACTTATTAGTTTATTTGTTATTGATGAATAACGAATAATTCCAGATTATTCTT